ACCTTCTCCTTTCATCAGCACTGATCCTGCAAGCCTCGCGGCCAAGTTAATGAGCCTGACTGGAGTGAAACTGTAGAGACAGCAGCCCCGCGTCCGAGGGACTGGCGCCCCGCTTTGTGGAGCCCAGGTGTGCTGCTTGGCGCCTGGCTGCCGGAACCCGCAGAGACACCTGGGCCTGCTTACTGTTTCAGAAGTCTTCTCGGTTTTATTCCCCGTGGTGACTGAGGTAATTATCACCTTAGGTGCTCGGAAAATCCTATTACAATGTAAATTTTTAAATTGGTAACAGATTGAACCAATTGTGTGTCTGTGGAAAAGATAGGATTTTTCCGTGCAGGAGGCCCAGTGTTTGCTGAGAATCAGTAAACAGGACAAGGTTTTGAACTGGTGCTCATCTAGTTCAGATTTTTTTTCTTTTGTTTTGAGACAGCATCTCACTGTGTAGCCCAGGCTGCCCTTGAACTCCCAGCAATCCCCCTGCCTCAGCTCCCAGTACTGGGGTTACAGGTGTGCACCCCCGGGTCCGGCTTGTATGTCTGATTCGTTTCACTGAACACCGAGGTCTCCAGGTGCTTCCATGTCCCGCAGCTGGCTCGGCCGAGTAGCTTGTGCGCTGTGTAAAGTCCTGTCTGGTCTCTGGAGGTCGCAAGTGCCGAGGCAGGAGGATCTCTACATTGTGTGGACAGATAACGATCCTGTGGATAGACTCAAAATAGGAAATTCTCCTGTCTTTCCTGGTGATGTCAGTGCTTCCTCACCAGAGAGACCAGGGAGCAGAGGGGTGCGCGTATCAGCTTCCAGTGAGACCTTGAGCCGCAGGGCAGGGACTCAGAGCTCCACGCCAGCCCAGAGGGGGCAGTGGTCACTTGGCTCTGGTGCTGGGTTTACTTCCTTGCGGAGCAGACGCCACTTCACGCTGAATTCTTAATGCCCTCTGTCGCAGAGCTGCAGCCTCACCCGGGGTCTTCACTGTGAACCTTGCCACTGGCCCTGCGGCATACAGTGAAGCTATACATAGAACTAATTCAGTCCGGCACACAGCACCCACTGCCAATGTGTATGCCACCGTGCTGGCCAGGCCCAGAAGCACATGCCTGTAATCACAGCACTCTGGGAGGCTGAGGCAGGAGGATCTCAAGTTCAAGGCCAGCCAGGGCAACTTAGTGATGTAGCGAGACCCTGTCTCCAAATAAAAATGTATGAAAAGAGCTGGGGATGTACCTCAGTGCCAGGACTCTGGGCTCGATGTCCAGTATCAAAAGCCAGGCATGGTGGCGCACGCCTATAATCCCAACACTTGGGGAGCTGAGGCAGGAGGATCGCTGTGAGTTTGAGGCCAGCCTGTGCTACAAAGTGAGTTCCAGGCCAGCCTGAACTGCACAGCGAGACCCTGTCTTGAAAGTCAAAACCAAATCAAAACAAAACAAAAAAACGCAGAAAAAAGTAAAGTACTGATGTCAGCCTAATTGCTTAATACTTTGCTATTTAATGTTTATATTTTGAACAAATAATCACATGGTTCCATGAGCTTTCAATGAGTATTTTACTACTGTAGAGCCTCATCAGACTTCAAAGTTAAAAACACGACACCAGTGTAATGGGGCTTTAATTGCAACACCCAAACATGACGGCTGTTCTTTCAGAAGAAACTTTCTTCTTTCCCACAATAACTTCTCTGACTAAGCCGCTGCCTAGAAGCTCTTAACCCTGTGACCTTACGGAGGGTCTCAGGGCCTCTGGAAACAGAACACAAAGGAAGTGATTGCACAGCACTCTTTTTATTTTTCATTTTTGATGCCTGGCTTTTTCCTGGGTTTTCATTTATTTTTACTTACTGATTTATTTCTGTTTTGTTTTGTTTTATTTTGTTTTATTTCATTTTGTTGAGAGAGGGTCTTGCTCTGCAGTTCAGGCTGGCCTGGAATTCACTGTGTCACCCGGGCTGGCCTCCCACTCATGCAATCCTCCTGCCTCAGCCTCCTGAGTCCTGAGGTTACAGGCGTGTGCCACCATGCTGGCTTCGTGTGTATTGTTTGCACAGATAGCAACCCTTGTGGGCTCCTTCTTTCCCTCAGTCCCTGAGGGAAAATTTCTAGAATTTTCCCTTCTGCATGATGACCTCCCTCAGTATTTCTTGCAGTGCAGGCTGCAGACAGCTTTCTCAGCCCCTGTTTGTCTGAATAAGACCTTACTTGCCGGGCCTTTGGAAAGGTGTTTTCCAGCAGATCTTCACTCTAGGTTGAAAGTTTTTCCTTTAGCATCCTGAAGCACTTCCTGTCCTCTCCTGACTTCCCTGTTGTGAAAAGTCAGCTGCGCTCAGTGCTTGCTCCTCTGACTGCCTTTTGTCTATCTGTGCTTCTGAGCCTCCCATCCGTGATGGGTGTAGATGGGATTCTCTTTGTGTCTGTCCTGCCTGGGATTTATGGTGTTCTCTTTAATAGGTTTCAGGTTTCTGTTGAAATTAACCTCTTTGCAGATGATTTGGAAAATACCCTCAGAAGATTTTTAGGATGAATGTAGGCCTCAGTCCACACATTTCTTCTCCTTTTCCTTTTTCTCAAAAATACTACCTTTGCCAGGCATGGTGGTGCACTCCTGTAATCCCAGCACTCAGGAGACTGAGGCAGGAGGATCACTATCAGTTTGAGGCCAGCCTGGACTACATAGTGAGTTCAAGGCCAGCAAGAACTATATAGCAATAGATACCCCATCTCAAAAAACAAAGTATTACAAGAAATGTATAAATAGATGCTTAATTATTAATTCTAGAGTCTGCTTTAGAGTTTTAATTATAGTTGATCAGAAGATAATCATTTTCTTTTAGTTAAAAAGTATACAGCATACCAATTTTTTAAAAGAAATACATACGTATCTTATTGCCGCAGCTATTTAAGATAGCAGCTTAATTATTGGCTTACTTCTCTTTGATCTTTTCTGTTTTATTTATTGTATAATTTTACAATCTGTATTTTTTATTGTTAAGTAACTTCAACATAGTCTTCGTAATTATACTATTTTAATCACTCTTTCATACTTTCTTCTCACTGCTATATAGTATTTCACAAGTTTTCATGTTGTGTTGGTTGGTATTTTTCCAGTTTTCATTACTAAAAATAATGCCACGTTGAACATCTTTGATTCAGGGATCCTACTCCCTAAAATAATTCAGCAGAGAAAAAGCTATGGCACGAACAGTGGGAATATTTTTATAATTCTTAACACAAGCTGTGGTGGGGAAAAAATGTATCTTGTAGAACCAGGGATCGTTTTAGAATAACACTTGCATTAGGAGCTAGGACTTTAAATTGTAGCTTATTTTAGAGCCTGTGCGAGTGAGCGCCTGGTCGGGTGACAGACGCTCAAGCGAGGCGCCAGCAGGCAGGGAGGATTCGCTGTGGCCCACAGTGTCAGGGGTTCAGTCTGGGGTCGCGTGGCCCTGTGGCTCGGGGACTGTGACAGCACCACACACAGTGCCAGGAGCGTGTGACGGAGGAGGCCTGTCAGCTCATGGTGGCAGGAGGCAGAGGCTCGGGGGATGGGAGGGGACAGGGCCCCAGCATCCCGCCTGGCGACCTCACCTCTTCCCCTCCTGGAGGTTCCGGCTCCATCTCCATCTCCATGGCGTAGTGCCATGGCCTGGGGATCAAAGCTCACCATGTGGGCCTTTTAAATTTAGCTTAATGTGCATTTTTTGGTTCGTTTCCCCATTTCCCCAGAAACAAGCCCAAGCGTGATGTTTTAGGATTCTCATAATACACGCCCTCCCCGCAAAGTAAGCCTCAGGTAAGATCGTCAGCCTGGTTTAGCGTTTAGTACGCCCATTGCAACACACAGAGGACATCCGGAATTATGACGACATTCCGGAAGGAGGTGGCATGGCTGTATTTGAATAATTGTAGATTTTTGTATGTGAACGAATGAGTGTAGGTTGTTGTACATGAAAAGATAAGATACCCACTGCACATAAACCCTATTGCGTCTTTTGGAGCAAAGTTAATCTAAGGCCTGGACTTACTTTGGGGGAGTAAGTACAGAGGTAGGAGTGAACTGTTTTCCCCGTTTGTCTTTGCCCCTGGTGTTTAGACCCCATTGTCAGCCCTGAGCTTTCTGGAAAGCTGATGCTTTGCACTAGTGCAGAGGGTGCTTGCTGTGCACGTTGAGATACAGGACCAGGGACGGCGGACTTCTAGCACTTTCAGGGATACAAACAGCCGCTGTGGCACGCGCGTACTAGACCTTCCTAGACGCTAGCGTCTGTGCATCTCCGGTAGCGCCTGGCTGTGATATGCACAGTGAATGTTTGTCTCTCAAGCGTAGAGTGCAGCTGTGCTGCATCTTTGTACTCTTCCTTCCTGAGCCTTGGCGTTGAGAAACTCAGCTTCTTCGTTTTGTTATTGAACATACTAAAAAGGTCTTGATGCATTTTTTATCTAACTTCAGTGTTTTCAAATGAACTGTTGATCACATAGAAGAGAAACTAGGCTCTGACATTGATTTTTGAATGGTGCTAGTTATAAAGTCTCTATGTATACAAGAGTCTTTAGTTACAGTAAGGAAAAGAACAGGCTGGGGATATAGCTCAGCAGCACCACACCTGCCTGGCAAGCGCAAGGTCCTGAGTTCGATTTCCGGTACCAAAGCAAAAGAAACTGAAGTTAATTATATTGTTCCATTTCAAAAAAATAATCTCTAAGCCTATGTGTCTTTCAGTATAACACAAAAGGATTTTTGCTTGCAATATTTAGTTATTGTTAGCTTACCAAATCTACAAAATCTGTCATCGAAGTTAACGGAGCCCATTGAGTTGAAATCTTAGTTCATGATATTTTTCTTCCTAATTCCAGACTTTAAAACCCTGTTGTCACCAGCATAGTGACACATGCCTTTTGTCTCAACTCCTCAAGAGGCTGAGGCAGGGGGAATCCTCAGCAAGACCTCATCTGAAGCAAACGAACAAGAACACAGTAAAAGTTTGTTTTGTTCTCTTCGCTTTTCTCTAGGTGAAAAAAGCCTTTTTTGCTTTGGTAGCCAACGGTGTCCGGGCAGCGCCACTGTGGGAGAGTAAAAAGCAGAGTTTTGTAGGTGAGCAGTGTGGGCCTGGGGGTGCTGGGACCGGGAGGTGGCCCCTAGGGCACTGCATCCCTAGGTTTCTCATGGGGGGCAGGGTGGGGTTGGTTTCAGCGCAGGAGATCTGTTACCAAGTGGAAGAGCGTCCCTGCCTTCTTTGTTCATTTTTTTGAGACAGGATCTCACTAGGCACCGAAGGCCTTGCACTCATTATATAGCCCAGGCTGGCATCCAACTCACGGAGATCCTCCTGCCTCAGCTTCCCAAGTGCTGGGATTACAGGCGTGCATGACCACAGCTGGCTGTGTCCTGCCTTTTACATCCTGGATAAATTCAGAACACTGTTGCACTTTAACTGAACTCCTTTTTCAGGGGTTGAATTTCTTTTAATTCAGCAACGTTTTGGCTTATGTGTCTTTATCAGCCACAGGAATAAAATCTGTATATACACGGAGAACAGACCTGAGTTAGCGCCCCCGCCCTGGGCCAGGCCAGTGAGTTGTGTGACGGCCAAGTTGTTACCACCCATCACCTTGGACAGGACAGATGAGAAGTTGTGCACATGGGCATCTTTGCTGTTAAAGATACCGTGTAACGCGCAGCTGCTCAAACATTGTCGTTCCCCACACAGTACATCACACGGACAGATAAGGACTCTGTCACCATCTCTCATAAGACTCAACACAAGATTTTGTAATTGCCACCAGGTATGATGGCACCTGCCTGTAATCCCAGCACTTGGGAGGCTGAGGCAGGAGGATCGCCATGAGTTCCAGGCCAGCCTGGGCTACACAGTGATACCCTGTCTCCAAAAAAAAGCCAGAAATGTAGCTCAGCAGCGCAAGTGCCTGCCTGGCAAGTGGAAGGTCCCGAATTCAATTGCCGGTACCAAAAAAATAAAAATAAATAAAAATAAAAGAGCCTGCTTATGTCTGCCTTTCCCCTAGATTATGATTTTCTCGGGGAGCAGCTTTCTATCTTTCTCATTGCCATAGTTGTGGTGTGTAGCCCGGAACCGGGACAGCGAGTGACAACACTGATACAGCCGTGTGTTGAGAACGCTTCTCGGGTCCCCGTGCTGGGGCTTGCGGAGTACTTTCTCTTGCTTTATCACACTGTGTCTTATTTTCAAGTATTTTAGAGTATTTACATGTAGCTACAATTCTATTTTGATATTTCATAACAGTTTCCTGTCGTTGATTTGCCACATACTTTGGTTTTTTTGTTGTTTTGTTTTGGGGTTTTTTTGCCACATACTTTGATGAATTCCAAATTTCTAATCAAGTTTCATTTCAGCTGGATTTTAATACCTAGTTTGGAATAAGCAATAAATTAATAGCTTTAAAGAATATATGAAACTATTCTTGAGATTGTTAAAGTATATTGCATAAGCTTTTCTTGTAGACATTGTAGGTTTAATATATACATTTTTTCGTTCTGTGTCCCTAGTTTTATTTTTAACATCTAATTCTTCGTTCCAGGAATGCTGACAATCACCGATTTCATAAATATACTGCATAGATACTATAAATCACCCATGGTGAGTGGCAGCAGTCTTTGCCCTCTCTCACTGATCAGAGCTGTGTGTGTCTCCTGGGTATGTAGGAGCTGTGTCTGTGTTTTGCCATATTTTTGGTATGGGATGGCAGTGGTTTATTTTGAAAATAAATACAGCATGAGGAAGTTCAGTATAAAACTACTAACATAAAGCTAGGCATGGTGGGTGTCTTAGTTACTTTTTCTCATTCCTGAGACAGAAATACCTGACACTTGAAGTTAAAGGAGGAAAGGTTTGTTGGCCCACAGTCTGTAGAGGTTCCAGTCCACAGTTGGCTGGCCCCAAGGCAGGGTGGCACATGGCAGAGGGCATCGCAGAGGAGAAACAGTTCGTGGTGGGCAGAAGGCAATAAAGCAGCAAAGTACTAAAGTAGCAGCAGCAGCCCACCTCTCCCTTTTATCCCTTTTGGGCTACCCACCCTTTGTGTGGTGCCGCTCACACCCAGGGTGTGCCTTCCCATTACGCACACCCAAAACTATCCAAACCAACCAGTGGACTAACTTAGTAACCACACACCCTTGATCCTAGTGCCACACACTCTACATCCAGCCACGTCTGAAAAGCCCCAGCCCCCTGTGACCACATGAGGCCTTGGGGGACATCTGGACACATGCCATAACAGTGGTACACTCCTGGAATCCCAGCACTGGGGAGGCTGAGGCAGGAAGATTGCCATAAGTGTGAGGCCAGCCTGGGCTACGTTGTGAGTTGAAGCCCAGTCTCAACTGTCATTAGACCCTGTCTCAAAAACCAAAAAATATGCAAAAAGTTATTAACCCTAGTAAACAGCCAGCTTTGCCCAAAGTTGTACATTTTCAGCCTGAAGGAGATACTGTCAGGAAAAATCACAGGGAGTAGCTGCCTTCTTCAGCTGTCACAGGCCCTCCGGCCGGGAGGACTCCACACACTTACTTATGCCCAGGGCGCCTCTGCGTGGCATCGCCTGGGTTTGTGTCACCCAGCCTCTGGCAGCGCCAAGGGTGGGGCCTGCCCACAGCCCCTGGCCAGGTGGCTGGCCCAGCAGGGGCCTTGGTCCTGAGCGCAGCCCGGTGGGGTGACAGAGCTTGGTGCTGTCCCCCGGCGATTTTATAACAAGAACCATATGGGCCGTGTGGTTTTAAAGGAGAAAGAAGTGAAAATTAAAATTGAGGAGATGCCATTTGGACTTGGTTGTACCAGTGAAGAAACAACGCCTGGGGTGATGTCAGTGCGGGTCCCTGGCGCCAGGTCCAGCTGCTCAGGAGAGCAGATCGGAGACCACTTCTGTCTCCTGCAACACTGGGACGTCTGTGATTCTGCCAGCTCGTGCTCGGCTGCCATTTGTTTTTGAGGGTTGGGAAGGACAGAGTTGTATGCTTTATTCACGTAGTAAAATAGGGGTCTTTGAAAGGTCCGCTGAATACTTGCGTTGGTTTGGTTTGGTTTGGTTTTGTTTGGTTTGGTTTGGTTTGGTTTGGTGTGGTTTGGTTTGGTTTGGTATGGTTCGGTTCGGTTCAGTTTGGTTTGGTTCAGTTTGGTTTGGTTTTGCGAGACAGGGTCTCACTGTGTAGCTCAGGCTGGCCTTGAACCCTAAACAATCCTTCTGCCTCAGCCTCCCAAGCACTGTGATTACAGGCATGCACCGCCATGCCCAGTTTAAATATAGTGGGACAGTCACCCAGCATGATAACAAGGGGACACATCTTCAGAAATACCATCCGTTGACTTCATCACTATGGAAGGGTGTTCCTACACAAACTAAAACAGCCGTGGACTTGCTGGGTGCCAGTAACGTTAAGACCACAGTTCTGCATGTGGCCATCATTGACCAAAACGTTATTAAGTGATCTGTGGCTGTAATTAAATTCCTCCATAAAATACGAAGTGAATTTCTTCATAAGACATATGCTTAGAATGAAGTTTTCCCAGAGACAGCAATAAATATTGTTATGTCACATGACAGATACTTCTGATTTCTCAAATCCTACCGATTCACATGAATCCGTCTTCATGTTGATCACATCTCTGCTCCAGGACTATCAAAATCAGCACAAGTATGATTTCTTAAATGGAGAGATCTCACCAGGTGAGGTGGTGCACAGTTGTAATTATAGCCTTCAAGGGAGGCTATAATGAGGCAGGAGGATCACTGAGTTCAAGGCCAGCCTGGGCTACATAGTGAGTTCAAGCCCAGCCTAAACTGCATGGCAAGACCCTGTCTCAAAAAAAAATAAATAAATAAGTAAATGGAGAAATATGGAAAAGGTTCGACCCAAATCCCACATAACAAACCTCAGCAGTAGTAGTTTATTAAACCAAAATTTCCAAAAAGTAGTTAGATCCAAATCCATAGCCCATATATACTTTCTCTTAATATTTGAAGTTACCTTTTTTCTCTGTATTTCTCCTCTTCTTCATAAAACGAGTAAACAAAACTCTTACGAAAGCTCTGTCTTACTATGTTTCGTCCATAACTTGCCCCTGTGTTGTATGTGTTAACATTCATTCATTCATGAGAATTTCTCTTCTTTGCAGGTGCAGATTTATGAATTAGAGGAACATAAGATTGAAACGTGGAGGGGTAAGCACCACTGAGGTTAAAGACCTTTCCCATCCGGGAGGAGGTGTTAGGTACAGGGTGCAGAGTGTGTTTTAACTTCACAGATTCTTCTCGTGCTGCTTCATAGTAACAGTGAAAACATTCTGCTCATTTCTGTCTCCATGTGGAGAGTCTCCCGGCCAACTCGGGCTGGGGATGGGCTGTGTGGTGGGCTGAGGGTGTCAGGGTGCATGATCTGACCCCTAGTGACTGCTAGGTAGCACCCTTAGAAATCTGCTTTTGAGCCAGGTGTGGTAGCGCACACCTGTAATCCCAGCACTCAGGAGGCTGAGGCAGGAGGATCCACCCTGAGCCCAAGGCCAATCTGGGCTGGAAAGTGAGGTCAAGACCAACCTGGACTATGCAGTGAAATCTTATCTCAAAAACCAAACCAAAACAAGAAGAAATGGAAGAACCAACTGAAGGAGAACTTGAAACTGAAGAGTCTGGCTTTGCCTGACAGGTCAAGCAGCCCTGTAGCTGGCCGAGAAACCGAAACATTCGTTAGTTCCCAAAAGCTCCATGCCTTTAATCCCATAGGAGTTAGAAGCTCATCGAGGGAAATATTTAGCAGGGCTTTATCGAGCCAAGCAAAATGAATTCAGTCAACGTGAGACCATATGGCCTGTTACGAAAGGCTTATGTAACCTAACACCCGACGCATTCTTCACATCGAATCCTAAGGTCCAGGTGCTGCGGACTGAGCCCTAAGCATTTTCACATTTTGCCGTACACGTTATTTGGTAGTAGTGCTGTACCGCCTGGATATCCTGAAATGCCTTTTGTATATAAACCTCAGTAAAGCAAGTTAATTACAGTTTATAGCTCTCCAAAGAAATTTCTATTTGCTGGGAGGATTCTCACGATGCAGTAGGTTTTAAACATTCATAAAGTAAAATAAAACATTTGAGGGACAGTTTGTTATAACTGATTTTAGCTTACAGCTAATAAAAATTGGCTTTAAATGGTTCTGTAAATGCTTCATTTCTTGAAGTTAATTTTACCTAGTAGCATCCTAGTGACCTCTGCTGGTATTGCATGCTGATTTCTTGAGTTTTTTTCTAATATTGCAAACATTTGTTGAAATACTGTTCTTGAAGTATTGAATTTTTCTTCAATACCCTGAAAACAGTTGAAGTCAGTTAAAGTGGCTATGACTGTAATTAACACAGTAGTTTTGGATGTTAAATTCCTATTGATTTGGAGTTGTAATTCTTCTAATTATCTGTTAAATGAAGGACATTTGAATTTATAGCATAACAATAAGCAATGAACATGTTACTAACTGCATATTTTCTTTTTATAAATACAGAGCTGTATTTACAAGAAACATTTAAGCCTTTAGTGAATATATCTCCAGATGCAAGGTAAACTTGTAGGATTTTTTTCTGTTGAAAACATTCATTGTGATGTCTGTTTTATAACCATGACAGCTAACTAGAGACAAATAAACCAACACACATGGTCTGCAGTCCAGGTAGAGCCAGCCTTCTTTACTCCAAGCCCTAAAGTCCGTAACCATAGGGACATTTGCGATGACAGCCATTCTTAGTCCCACGGGTTGAAACTGGGCTAGGAAACTGGTCACCCTAAGCATTTTGCAAATCCAGACCTGGAGCGGGATCGGTAGGGACCTGTCGCCCAGTCCTAGCCAGGTGTATGGTGGCGCATGCCTGTAATCCCGGCACTGAGGAGGCTGAGGCAGAAGGATCACCGCCGAGTTGAGAGCCATCCTGAACCGTGTTGCAAGACCCTGTCTCAAAAAAAAAATTACCCTGTCCTGGGTTCCCCCAGCCCACCGGTCCAGTGGGTGGAGCTGGGAACAAGAAGCTTGAAACAGCTGCCCCGGATTCTGACCAAGATCAGAGCCATCGTAGGCTTGGACCGAAAAGAATGGAGTGTAAGATGCTTTTACGCTCAAGGCGTAAAAGAGAGAAAAGGGGAAACGTTCGTCTGTATTATCTTACTTCCAGATTCTAACAGGAAGGTGCAGCCCCCCTTGGTACTGGCCGCAGGGAAGCCAGGGCGCAGGCCTGCCAGACACACCAGCAGGTCTGGTACAGAGGTCTCTATCATCTTTCAAATAAAATCGCTATTAGGTACAGGGGCGCACACTGACAATCCCAGCACTGTGGTAAGCTGAGGCAGGAGGATCACAGGTTGAAACCCATCCTCAGCAGTTAGAGACTTAGTAAGACCCTGTCTCAAAATAAAAAGTAGAAAATGTCTGGGGATTTTCTAGCTCAGTACATCCAGTCCCCAGTACAGAAGAAAGAAAAAATACTACTGTCTGGTCAGGCACAGTGTGTCACACCTATAATCCCAGCTACTCAGGAGGCTGAGACAAAAGGATCATGAGTTTGAGGCCCGCCTGGGCAATTCAGCAAGACCCTGTCTCAAAAACAAACAAGCCCATAAACAACAAAAAAGGTTCTAGAGATCTGTAGCTCATGCTTACATTTGAGATATAGTAAGAGATTGTGGAAAACCAAAAGATAGCGGAGGTCTCCAATTTTAAAGTCCCCCCATGCTGTTTTAATTTGATCGGCCTTTTATTACAGGGGCATAAAATCACTTTAAAGCAGGGGTGGCCCGGAGCTGTCTGATTTCTCTTCAAAGCCTCCTAACAACTTTAATGGCTTTCCCTGCAGCCTCTTCGATGCTGTACACTCGTTGATCAAAAATAAAATCCACAGATTGCCAGTCATTGACCCTATCAGTGGGAATGCACTTTATATCCTTACCCACAAAAGAATCCTCAAGTTCCTCCAGCTTTTTGTAAGTAGTTTTGAGTGTTTGTAAAGACGTAGTTACCTTTACTTTCATGTACTTCAAATCTATTGGCTTCTGTTACTCTCAGTAGCAGAAATCATTAGTCTTGAGGTCTGCCGTCCTAAACCTTAATTTCTCAGCTTGCTGCTATTTTAACAGTACATTCTTAAAGTTGATTCCAGCCAGGCATGGTGGCTCACGGGAGGCTGAGGCAGGAGGATCACTGGGAGGCTGAGGCCAGCCTGGGCTACACAGTGAGAACTTTCCTCAAAATGTTAATTAATTAAGAAGGTGATTCCAATTAAAAAGCAGTCACCTTTCCATACAAAAATAAAAATAATGACAACATTTGGAATTATTTTTCTAAATCAGATGGCTGTACCGCCCAACGTGGAAGGGGCACCAAAGCAGGTCTGTGTAATTAAAGACCGCTGCCCACAATAAACTGAGCTGGTACTTAGGGCAAAAATCATTTCACTGTTTCATGATGTGTTTACTTGTGTCATGATTTTTAGAAACCTGATCAAAAAATACTGACCCTGACATGATCTTGCTGTAAACTACAACAGTACCAGAAAACCCCAGCGCAGGTAGAGTTTTGGCAGGAGCGTAAATACCACGTTGGTCCACATCAGGCCTGTGTTACCTGGAGGTCTTCTCAGCTCCCTGTGAGACGAGCTGGCTTCCTGCTCGTCCAGAACCTGCGAGCGCTTTGCTGGGCGGCGTCAGAAGAGTCGAGGAGGGACAGGGGTCGTGCAGCGGGCCGGGCGTTTCCCGGAGCCCATGCACGGAATTCGAGATTAAAGTCTTCGGCGGGTAGAAGCGGTGGGAGGCGTGCTGGGGTTCGGCTGCAGTCCAGCACGGGGGAGGCCGGCGTGAGCCTGGCTGCGAGTTCGAGGCTGAACTGCACAGCGGGACCTTGACTCCAAATCAGTAAGCAGAGGGTTTCCTCTGCCCAGGGCTGCCGTCAGCGCCTGATGTTAACCCGATTAACAAGTCACTCTCCGAGGCTGAGTAGCACTAGCCTCGGGACACCTGCACCATAGCTAAGCGTGGCGCGTGGCACAGGGAGCCCCCCGTTCTGAGGTGGACGAGGTGACCTAATAGGTCTTTCTTTTTTTTCCTCTCTCGAAATTTCTAGGATTCTCATCATTTGAATATTGATGAACTCTTTGACTTGAACATTTTGTTTCTCCTAACTGTTCACCTTTTCCTGATAAGGTACAGCAGGAGGCTGCGGCCAGCCATACCCTTTGTAAAAGGTGGATCTTTGAAACCGTGGGCCGTATTTTGTTAGAGCCAGACTGGGTCCTCGGCTTGTCGCTCCCGGTGTACCCCTCCGCTAAAAGAGCCCACACAGAGGCGGCGGAGAGGTCCCCCTCATTCTCTGCAGCTGGCTCGCTCTTTGACCCTAGTAGACAAAAACTGGCATCCTCCAGCGAGACAGAGGGCGAGGAGGTGGGACAGAGTGAGGTCGGGGTTGGTGGCCTCAGACACCATCGGTCCCTCGGGCTTGGAAGCGCCTGGCTTCTTAACTCTGACTCCGCGCCTGCAGCCGGGCCCAGAGCGTGACACAAATAATTAAGCATCAGGCCTGTTCTTGGGGGTTCGTGGGTCTTAGTCTTCCACACAGACCTGACGTCCCCTCGTAGCCGCATTTGTAGTTAGTGAGGGAAAGGAGAAACGTGATGCACAGCACACAGCCAGACAGATGGGTCTGAAGCAAAGATTCACCTCCAGGCTCGTCCTCACTGAGACACTCACACGGGTGCCTAGCTTTTCACTCAGACCCGGACTTGCGGACCTTACTCACAGGGTTTTTCAGGTTCCCGGAACCTTTGATTTCTCTCTCTCTGTCTCTCAGATGTCCGACATGCCAAAGCCCGCCTTCATGAAGCAGAACCTGCAGGAGCTGGGGATAGGAACCTACCGCAACATTGCCTTCATCCACCCGGACACGCCCATCATCAAAGCCCTGAACATATTCGTGGAGAGACGGATATCGGCGCTGCCCGTGGTGGACGAGTCAGGTCTGTCGTCCCCCTTAACTGCAGTTTTTTAACTGGCGGCTTTTCATACTTCTGTCAGGATACAATTTCACTCCCAGGTGTGGTGGCCATGCCTGTAATCCCAGCAGTCGGGAGGCTGAGGCAGGAGGATTGCCACAAGTGTGAGGCCATCCTAGACTGTACAGTGAGGTCAAGGCCAGCCTGAACTACATAGCAATACCCTGTCTCAGAAAACAGACAGATACCATTTCATGTCCACGTTAAAATAGGCAAGTTCATCAGCGTTCAGTTCGGCCCTTCCTCTTAAAAGAGGCAAGTTTGTTAGTATTCAACCCTTAGTAATAATCTATTTAAGGTTGACTTTAAAATGACTGATTTTGTTGTTCCTAAAATACTTTTCTCACATGTGCTTTCATTTTTAGGAAAAGTTGTAGATATTTATTCCAAATTTGATGTAATTGTAAGTATGTTTTCGTTTTCTTTAAATCTGTCATTTTGAATGCATTTTAAAAGCTATTCAAAGTTTTCTGTGTTTTCCTCTGGTTCCCTGACCTCATAATTCCTAACTTTCTTGAGTCTGCGGATTAGAGAATGCAGTATTCTCCACAGTAATCACACTTCTAATGTTCCCTGGCCTGGTGTGAGTCACACGTTAGTGTACGTAGTATTTAGTCATCTTCGTGTTGTCAGGTCTGTATATTGTACCCTTCCCTGTAGCGCACGTATAGATCGTAAATGCTTGTGTTTGGCTGTGGGCGTCATTCACCTGCCCGCACATGTGTGAGCTCACATGAGCCCCTGTGCATGCTGACGTGCTAGGCGCAGTCTGTCGCCCGCTCGTTCGGAGTGCTGTTCTAAAGAAGACAGCGCGCGTGTTAAAGGGTTTAACAGGGCTGTAGCAAGTTCCGCATGTGCACCCTGATTCAGTCCCTAGGCTCACTGTTAGCGCTGTACCTTCTCTTTTCTCCCCATGCATCCATGAAGGTGCTTAGGGTTATAGTATCTAAGACAGGGAACCCGGATTCCGACCGTCCCCAGTGTACACACCGTGGTTCTGGCTGTGGTGTTAACCCTGGCACTGAGTGTTCTTCGCCTCTGTCTTCAATCTTTCGGGTCAGCCGTATGATTAACATAACAGATACCAAAGTATGTCTTCATTAGACTGTGGTGCAGTGACCCTGAGATGCCGTGTGGGCCCATGGGACTCCTGGGGCCGGCTCTTCCTCCAGGCCTTGACCCTAATGGGCCCCCAGTACCCTGTTCTGCAGGGAGCCCCTCGGGGAAGTCCGTGGATGTTGAGTCCCACCCTCTGAGGCACTGTGACCCTCACAGGTGTCAGCCCACCTCCCCAAGGGTGTCACTCGCACACGGAAGTTTTCGGCAGGATATGCTATCAAAATATCACATAATGTGGGGGAAAGTTTTAACGTAATGTGAATGTTTTGATTGCAATGTGGGAGCTTTAATTCAATAAGATAAAGTAATGATACTGACGTTATGATACAAGCCGAAAAGGGAACTTCAGCTACCAAATCGAAGTACACATCAATGTTTTTAGAGATCAGGCAGCCTTGAACTTACTCACTTTGGCCATCACGCACACTGAAATTTGGGGCTCTGTTCCAGAATCTTGCTGCTGAGAAAACCTACAACAACCTGGACATCACAGTGACGCAGGCTCTGCAGCACCGGTCGCAGTATTTCGAGGGCGTCGTGAAGTGCAGTAAGCTGGAGACACTGGAGACCATCGTGGACAGGATAGTGAGGGCCGAGGTGAGCCCCAGGCACCTGTCTGCCCCCACCTTCCCCCAGGTTGACGGCGACAAACACCCACGGCAGATGGCGCCTCAGGAACTTGCGTCCCGGGAAGGCCCAGCAAAGCAGCCTCCACATTCTGTCAGAGGGAGCCCTTTTCCAGAATGTTCCGTGGCACGCGGCAGCTGGGCTGGAAAGGGTTATTGAGTTGGTTTGAGTTGAGTGTCAAGTCCAGATATCACAGGTGACTCAGAAGGACTGGTGAGATACTCCCGTTCTTAAAAAATGTATACTTGAGACAAGTTGCCCCAGGACCATCAGGTTCTATTAGAGGGCCTATGAATTCAGAGTTTTAAAAGGTAGCGGGCATGGTGGCATATGCCTGAAATCCCAGCACTTGGGAGGCTGAGGCAGGAGGATCATCGTGAGTTTGAGGCCAGCCTGGGCTATATATGTGAAATTAAGGTCAGCCTGAACTGCATATAGCAAGACCCTGTCTCAAAAAAAAAAAACAAAAAGAAAAAGAGAACAAAACAAAAAGAAAAAGAGAACTATTGTTTCAGGCTAATCTTCCCTCTCCCCACCCCAGGTTCTCTCCCCCAGTTTATAGTAACTGCTCCGGTACCTCAGACTCCTGAGCCCCAGCTCTCACAGGCCCGCATGGAGGATTTTCAGGGCCACTCTGCACAGCACCCTGTAGGGAGATGAGAGGGGCACAGTACAGAGGCCCCTCCCGCACACGCTGCCGACGTGGCTGCTTAGACGAGGTGCGGGATGCGTCCTGTCATCCTCGAGGGCTGAAGGGCAGCTCCGTTGTTCTGGAACAACCCCCAACTGGGCAGAGCATGCGTGACGGCCCTCCGTGTTCATGTCACTGGAAACGCAAGAAGACACCAGAGCGCCTGCTTGTTTGTCCAGGTGGCGACAGGCAGCATCAGTCCTAGAAACCCACCAAGTCCCCCTTTAACTGTGTGTTCAGGGTACGAGGAGCCCTACCTGTAAGTAAGAAGTACAACGAAGGGGAGGTGGTAGGAAACGGGGCACACTGCAGAGATGGGAAGGGAGTGGGAAAGCAAGAAGGGGGGGAGAGCAAAGGGGTGGAAGTACGAGATGTGGCCGGGCGTGGTGGCGCACGCCTGTAATCCCAGCACTCGGGAGGCTGAGGCAGGAGGGTTGTTGCGAGTTCGAGACCAGCCTGGGCTACAAAGTGAGCTCAAGGCCAGCCTGAACTGCATAGCGAGAAAAAGTTGTCTCAAAAAGACAAAAAAAAAAAGCCAAGAGATGTGTGTGTACCAGTTCCACAAAACAGATGTAAATATTCTGTATCACGAACGTGTACCGTTACGGTTTGTGTCTGGATGTCCCCCCACAGCCTCCTGGGGTCACAGGTGGGGCTTCTTCAGTATGTGGTGCTGGGATGAGGGGTGGGTGGTTACCAAATCAGTGCACTGATTGGTTTGGCACTGGCCTAATCGCAGTAGCCCAGGTAGAGTACAAAAGGGGCAGAAAGACACTGCTAAGGTCCCTTGTTTGCTTTGCTGCCTTCTGCCCACCATAAGTGGTTGCCCCGCTGCCGTGCCACCCTCCCTTGGAGCCCCCGATGATGGTCTGAAACCGCTACACACGGAGCCAAATAAACCTTCCCCATACCTCTGGGCATCAGGTATTGTGTCTCAGCCACGAGAAGAGTGACTGTGACACACACCAGCTTTTTAAAAAGGCCAGGCACAGTGGCACATACTTGTGATCCCAGCACTCAGGAGGCTGAGGTAGGAGGGTCACTGAGCGTTTGAGGCCAGCCGGGGTACATAGTGACATAGTGAGTTTAAGGCTGGCTTGAACTACACAGTGAGTGAGACCCTGTCTCAAAGACATTCACTGAGGGGGCTGGGGATTCAGCTCAGCGGCACAGCGCCTGCCTGGCAAGCACAGGGTCATGAGTTCGATTCCTGGTACCCGGGAGGAAAAAAAAAAAAAAGACATTAACTGAATGAATGAGAATCCCACCCATCTGAATGAATTCCCCCAGCTTTCTCTTTTATGGCTTTTCACACATTTCACCAGCATTTCGCCGGGAGACACAAAGCCAGTCTTTAGGTATGGTGCACTTTGTCGGGAAGGACAGATAAGATCACTGAAGACTCAGTTTATCCAAATGACAAACAAGGCGCTTTAGACAGGGAACACTTGTGAGTTTAGACTTGGCAGCAGATGACAAAATGCTTTCAGTGCCCGTTTCTGTGTGGTAGAATTCTGTCCGTCTCTGGGCGACGTGACTGACCCTCAGCAGATCAGAAGATGCTTAATTACCACTGCTGAACGTTAACAATAAAATATGTGTAGCATAGAATATAAAGTAGCCTCTGGTCCCAGATAGGAACCATTGCTTTAATTTATAGTTAGAGCGAGTAATTGTGCTGTTACAGGATTACTGAAGGACCTAAAGTGTCTTACTTGAGAAGCTTTTTAAAGAAATTTTGTTGACTCATAGGAGAATGATGATCAGATGACTCATTTTTCTAACCTAAAACAAGCTGTAATCTCAAGAACATCACCAGTGTAGATCATTGGAGATCAGATATTAAAACATGTTGGGTATGGAGGCATGCACCTGTCCTCCCAGCACTTGGGAAGCTGAGGCAGGAGGATCACTGTGAGCTCCAGGCCCAGCCTGGGCTACAAAGTGAGTTCAAGACTAGCCTGCGCTACATAGCGAGAGCCTGTCTCAAAAAAACAAATAACAACAACAAAAAACCCCAAACACCCTCCTCTCCACCTCCTTCCTGTGTCCCCTTGTTCCCAGTATTGGCAGGGTCCCCCAGGTAAACAGCTGCTATCTCCTCTCCTACCTGCGTTGTTGCTGGAAGCCACCAAACATTCCCCTCCCATCTGTAAAAGATTTAAATTAGAAAACTAGAGGTGAACGTGATCTGTTTCACTTAGCTGTAGTTCATTTATCCTCTTCAGGATTATCCTTTAATTTTTTTTTTTTTTCCTGTCTTTTTGAGACAGAGTCTTACTGTGCAATTCAGGCTGGCCTTGAGCTCACCTTGGAGCCCAGGCTGGTTTTGAACTCTCAATGATCCTCCTGCCTCAGCCTCCTGAATGCTGGGATTACAGGTGTGCGCTACCACGCCCAAACAGTATTATCCTTTAATATGTGAACTTTGCAGAGAAAAGATACTAATAAAAAATAATCAGGCACGCATCTGTAATCTCAACACTGTAGGAGGCTGAGGAAGGAAGATTCCAAGTTTGAGCCCAGCCTGAGCAACTTAGTGAAATTCTGCCTCAAAATAAAAAATAAAGGGGCTGGAGATGTAGCTTTTTGCGAAAGCCCTGGGTTCAATCCGCAGTAGTGCGTTTAATAATGATACTCTCAAAAGCAGAGCCAGGCGTGGTGTCGCTTACCTGTAATTCCAGTGCTTAGGTAGCTGAGTCAGGAGGATCATGAGAGTTTGAGGGCAACCTGAACTACACAGTGACACCCTGTCTCAAAAAAGTAAAGCAAAATTAAGATCTTATGAGTAATGGCGCCGGGCGTGGTGGCTCACGCCTATAGTCCCAGCACTTGGGAGACTGAGCCAGGAGGATAGTTGTGAGTTCGAGACCAGCCTGGGCTACAAAGTGAGCTCAAGGCCAGCCTGAACTGCATAGCGAGACCCTGTCTCAAAAAGACCAAAAAAAAAAAAAAGAGTAATGCCCTTCCTGGTTTCCACAATCATCTGGACTCCTCCCGTGTGAAGCAGGTTGCCTGCCGGTGGCTCGGAGCTGAGCTACAGCTTCAGAGAATTAGAACGCCCGGGTTGGCATTCTGGTGGCTGCTTTGTGGCTCTGGAGCTGCAGCTCACACACGCTGCTCTGGTGGTGTCGGAAACCTCAGCAGGACGTAGCTGGCCCAGTTCCCTTAGAAGCGATCAGCACGCCTGAGCGCCATCTTAACTTCCTGTCCCTGGGGAGCCACATCGAGGGGCGGCGGGAAGGCCAGTGTTTCCAGTTTCAAAGCTGACACGGCCTGTTCCCTTTTGCAGGTCCATCGGCTGGTGGTGGTAAATGAGGCCGACAGTATCGTGGGCATCATTTCTCTGTCCGACATCCTGCAAGCCCTGATCCTCACACCAGCAGGTAACAGTGCCCATCTGCGGTGCCAGCCGGAGAGTGGATGCTCTGAGCCGCGGCCCCCACCTGCAGATGGGGCTTCACTCTGTGCTTTGTGATGTGTTCGCATTTTCTTTTCAGTTTTAAACTTTTGTTTAAGACAGGGTCTCACTATGTAATGCAGGTGCCCTTGAACTCACAGTGGAGCCCAAGCTCCACTGTGAGTCTCAAACTCTTGGTGATCCTCCTGCCTCAGCTTCCCAAGTACTAGGATCGTAGGTGTGCGCCACCACACCCAGTTTATTTTTGAAGTTTTTTTTTTGGAGGAAGGGGAGTGCCTTTTTGAGACACGGTTTCATTATGCGGTTTGGACTGGCCTTGAGCTCAGTTTATAGCCCAGGCTGGCCTTGAACTCAGCGATCCTCCTGCCTCAGCCTCCTGATTACAGGCATGTGCCACCACACCCGGCTGAAATTTTAATGTTCTACTTGCATAAGAAAAGCCAAAGGAAATACTTAGAGGGGCAGAAAAGAAAAGAGGGCTTTGACAGGAGTTGGCCTTTCTTCCTGTCACATACTTCATGGTAACAACGGCCCCTTGAGGTCCTAAAACGCCCGGCGTTCTGTGCCTTCTCTTCCTCTGCCTCCTGGTCCCGCAGCTCTGAACCAGCAGCCTCTGTGGGCCTCAGACCCCAGACCTGGTGGGAGACCACAGGGGTGTGCTCGGAAGCTCAGAGGTCAGCCCTCGCCACACCGCCCCGGTTGCCACAGCACTGATTTGTCTGCAGTTCAGAAATTCAGACTCACAAGCCGGGCGTGGTGGCACATGCCTGTAATCCCAGCACTCAGGAGGCTGAGGCAGGAGGATCTCCCTGAGTCTGAGGGCAGCCTGGGCTACATAGTGAGTTCAAGGCCAACAAATAATCTGGCATCTTTCCTGCCAACCCGTTTTGAAACACCCTGCCCAGATACGTGTAGTTGTTATATGCAGTCACCCTTAGATTTGTTATAAGACCTTTTTTTTTTTTTACATTTTTACAAGTATGTACAACTGAGATACTGTGCACCTTTGATTAAAAATACATGTCTACTTTTTAAATTTCTCAGCAGTAGCAGGCATGGTGGTGCACACCTGTAATCCCAGTATTCTGGGAGGCTGAGGCAGGTGGATCACAAGTTGGAGCCCACCCAGTTGGGCAGTTTAGCAACTTACTGAGAGTTTGTCTCAAAATAGAAAAGAGTGGGGTTGTAGCTCAGTGTAAAAGCCCCGTATCTGTCCACAGGACCACCAAAAACGAAAAAGCTCAGCAGCAGAATCTGGCATATTTAAACTTAAAAGCAAGCCAGGTGTGGTAGCTCACGCCTGTAACCCCAGCACTCAGGAGGCTGATGCAGGAGAATCACCATG